TATCTTTTTGCAGAAAAGTTTTTGAATGTTTTTGTCGTTGCATCATTTTATAATAAATTATGAGCATATGCAACTTCTGTTGAACGTGAGGCAAATTGCGCGATGATCTGGTATTTCGAATCTTGTATTCGTAGTGGGTCTTGATACCTTGAATTGCTTGAGCTGAGCCCTTGCAGTGGTTCTTTTGCGGTAGTGCATGCGAGTCGTTCGTGGTTTTTTGCGACTACGTGTTCAGCTGTAGCGAATGTAATATGCTAGGAAACGGTGTGCTATCTTTACTGATATTATTGTTCAGATTGACATGGTACAGTGGCTGTCCCATGTTCACACACTTTCTTTTTATCTGTTCTGTACATTATACAGGTTTACCTTTTCTTCCTTTTCTTCCAGATGTGCGTGAATGCAACGGTTTCAGTAGGAAAAGTCTCGCCCATTGTTTCACTTTCTTCTTGCTTACGGGTCATCGTCGAAGATCAGCATATGTTCCTCCGTACCATTAGATATATTGCTCGTACCCTGATTCCTTTTACTAGTTCTTTTAACCATATCTGACCCATGGCAGGTCGTTGAAACGACGGATCGTTAAGTGTTACATGACTAGAGTGTTGTTACATAACATAGGTGTTCATAAAACACTTTCTCTTGTTTTGTCTCTTGTTGTTCTTGTTGATAGCTGTGCAGTCAAAACATATTCGTTTCCAACATAATTCGTTTTTGGACAACTTGTACAAAGACCATGAAATAATCGAAATTACTAAGAAAGACCAAATGAGTTGTTGACGACGTAAGATGGAACAGGGGCTGAACAAATGGTCTGGCAGAAAGGCGAATCACAAGCATGTGTGGCATAGGAGTTGGACAAAAACAAACATTACATTTGCATAGACATGAAATTTTTTGATCAAAGAACGACTGATGGAAGAGAGTTAAGGTTGATAAACGATAAGTGCTAATAAAGGCCAATGACATATTTTTAAGGCCAATTTTGGATGGGCATTGAGGGGCAGAATCTTTCGGTGACGTCTTACAAATAAATTTCAAGCGAAATGAGGTACTGGTTTTGAGTAATCGTTACGAAACTGGTTCCGGATTAGGCTGTGGTCGTATACTCGTCAATGCGTTTATTATTTTAAGTCTTAAATATAAGTCAAAATAAAATCTTCATTATTTACAAATTTTGTAGGAAATTTTTGGTTCAATCATTCCAAACTTCCATCGAAAGACAGGCATCCACTTTATAAATTCTGCGGTCACCTTGGAAAAATGAATCAATAGTAGCCTGATGTTATTGCTACTTTTATGCTATTTGCTTCAACATGGTTGCTCCATTTGAGTTGTTATGTTGAAGAGTTACTGTATGATGCTCACGCACACGACTCTGTCGGTTCTTCTAACGCTTGCATCCGCAAGAATAGTTCGCCAGTTTTGGTCATCGGAATTTGTTAGCATTTATTAGCATGTCTTCACATCTTGTTAAACTCCGATACTCAGACCAGTCGTTGTGGATTTGTTGTGAGTGAAACAGAAGTGTTTCCAAGGGATCTAAGTGTCAAGACATGTTGTAATCTCTTAGTTGTCCATCAGAGCTGTTTATTCCGACGGTAATATTCATGTTCGTTACGGCGAAACTCGCAGAAGTGTAAAAAGTTTTTTTAATTGTCTACCTTTGGGAGAAATACATTTATCTCTTCAATTAGTTAACTGTCTGAACCGAGGGAAGTAGTGTGTAAGGTTGAATAATGCATCGACAGCCGAAGGAATCTTTTCATTCAGACTTTGTTCCCCATGTTTTAATTTCTACCTCACAATTTCTAATCTGAGTATCTGATAAACTGTGTGCATGGCAGATTTTGGGTGTGACATATATGGTTCAGTTTTCTGTGTAGATCACCTGTTTTATTATTTTATTAATTTCTGACAGCGAGTGTGGGGTTATTACTCGGCAGGATGAAGTATGGTGTGTTATGTATATCTGTCCTTTATGATTTCCGTGAAGGCTTTTCATAAAGTCGTTTAAAATCCTTCGGTTTACTGAAAAACACGGTTGCTAGAGAGTTGCTTATCCTTCTTTAGGCAGTTCTATTCAAGAGAATGACATAGATTGGAACATATCTTGTTTATTTATTCGTGTGGACAGCTTACGACTTATTGACAGAGTGAACAAAACATGGTCGAACACGCATAAAACGAAAGATGTAAAGTTGTCCTTCTAAACGTAGGATAATCTTTATTATGGTCGATTTGAGCGGATTCGGCATTCCAAGTAGATAATTTTTGAAAATCTGAAACATTAAACCTGACTGAAATCCACTGGGTAAATATTTATTGGCTTCAGGTCTGTCAGATTATTTTTTTCTTAGTTTGTATATATTTTTATTCTGTTATTCGATTCGTTTATCTTTTCGTTTCATGAACACTTTTTCAAGGACTGTAAACGTATTTGTTGCAATTATAGATGTGTGGAGTGTAGAAGCTTTGACCTATTTTCAAAGCTTGGTATTAGGAAAGCTCATTTCAGCCGAAGTTACTGGCACGTCTCCAGAGGGTACTCCAATGGTCGAACTTTATACGTCGGTTTCGTCCGAGGTAGGTGTATGTTTTGCTGTGGTATTTTAGCTTGCAAACTTTTGTTTTCTTTGAGGTTTGTGGTCTGTTAAATATTTGGCGTTATTAATTAAGGCGCTAATTTTTGAACATGAACGTAATTACTAAACTGAACAGTGTAGTACGGATTATAATCCTAGTGATATTATTAGATTTCGATCTTTTCGATCCTGGGTACCTTGTTGGAACTGTAGCTACGTTGTTGAAGAAAGTTGAAGGCAGGAAACAGGCGACAGGAGATTAAAATTTTTTGCTGACGTGTTTAGTTATTAGGACACTCATGGCATATCCGATAAAGTCGACCACACATGGTGTCTTATTAATGCCAGAGTTGAACATAATGATTTAACTAACGTGAAACATAAGTGGCAGATTTGGATCCGTAAATTTATTTCAAATTTTTGATTGTGCTCTAGTTTTCACTTATAACAATGGAACAGGCATATTCACTGCTAGTTATCCAGGGATTATTTAATGAGAGGGCCATTCTCTTTAATGGTGGTCACTCTTGATTTGCGTATTTGCCGAGTTCATCACCTTGAGCCGTTTGCATGTCTTTGGTTTCTGATGTCGGCCCTATCCTATCCTTATTCTGGTTCCTGATCGATCGAAGGTATATTCACGGATCCCTCATTACCCGTTTTTTGTCGTATACCAGTAATCACGGTTATCGGTGTAATTCCTGACTGATGATATTGACGACATTATAGAAAATTTGACTCTATTCACTTTTATGAGCTTAAAGTTGTAAGTGATCTTCAAATGTCAAGTATTTGAGACAGTCCTTCATAAGGATAACGGTATAAAATCTCTCTATCCTCTCAACTGCCAAATTCGAAGTACCGTATATGAGATAATTTATTAATTTCGTGTGCTGGTGATTTAAGCTTCATATTTCTGGATGGCGTAAGTTTTCCATCCTCGATTAACCCCGTTTGAATGGATATCGAACACAGTGTAGTGATTCGATAATGCGATGCCTTGCTTGTATTACGGGTATGTTTTTCAGTTGGTTAAAAGGTTTCAGGTGGTTGGTTCAGTTGGTTTTCAGTCCGTGTTTGATGGTTAACGTAAGGCATCGTTCTTGTATTAGAAATACTCGTTTTTGCTGTGAAGTGGTATTCCATGCATCCGCTTTCTGTCACTTTCTTAAATGGCCACTGAGTTTAAATAAAATTTTTATATTCGATGTCATGCATCGACTCTCAACTAATGTTATTTGTAAAATATGGTTATGTAAGTGACAAAATTTCACATCCGATTTAACTACTGTGCTGTATGATACTGTTTTTCAGGATTCGCCGAGAGTGACCGAACTGCTAATTCAGGAAGGCTACGCAGTTCAAGCGGATACGGTGTAAACGGTATACCACGCAATCGACTATTACAATTGAGCTTTGTCTTTCCCACTGTCTATTCGAAACATCACCGAACTTTTGTCGACTGTACCACCCGATGAACAGAACTTTTGGCAGTTTATCGATGGATGACGAATGATGTTGTTTTCTTCTTAGCACTGGGACTGTTTGTATTATGTATATACATATATAAAATGACACTTCAATTTTGCGGATCATCGGTTCAGTGTTGCCTTTTCATCTTTCATCGCTGACTGACTTTCTCTTGTTATGTGTGACAATGTTTATTTTGTTCGTTAAGATTTGTTTCATCGTCTTTCGTGAAGTTTTGGATTCTACGGTTTCTGTTCATTTTATTAC